TGAGGTTTTCCCTGTGGTCTTATAGCCTTATGGACTGGAGGCGATTTGCTGAATGTGCATGTCTTTGCTGTCAGACCAATGTCAATCTTTGATTTTTTTAAAAATGTCCTTTTTTGAAAAGGGTTTTACTAATGCGGGAGACTGTCAGATTCCAGGTTCTCAGACGAACAGGCCAAGCCAAGCAGCTCCGTCCCGCATGCGGACCCCCCGCCGTCACGTGCAGGGTGCGTTGCAAAGCCAACATCCTTCGTGGAGGACTAGATCGAGAAGTGTCTATTTAAACCGAAAATGCAACCATTTGAAATGCTGCCTTGTAAAAAATGGAGACGGAAGGGTGTGCACGGAAGAAATGAGGCTGCGCGCCCGTTCGCCTTGGCCTGGGCGCTCGCTGCACTGAGGACCCGGGACCTTCCTCTCCGCAGCGTGTGCAGGATCACCCCCCGCGCAAGGGAGGGGCCATGGGGGGGTCACCCACGGCCAGTGCCAGGGGTGGGCAAGGCCCGGCACACGCACAGGCCCGGCGCCCCCGTGGCTTGGAGCCCCAGATGGGCTGCAGTGGCAGCTACGGGCAGCCCTCGCCCACCGCCCACGAGGGGCCACCACTTCCCCCGGTGGTGGGGGGGCGGAGGAGCCGCTCCTCGGCGTGTGTCTTCGCGAGCAGCAAGCGCCTCCCGGACACGGAAGACGCTCAGGAGAGGGGACTTCCAGAACTGCTCCGGAAAGGGGCCAGAACGACAGGGCAAGACGCTCGGAGCGAGGGCAGTATTTTGACGTGTCTCTACTGCCGTCGTTTCCCCGGCTTGGGTGCCCAGCGAGTGCGGTCTGCTCACTTCGTTCGCAGTTTGGGCTGAGAGCATCGCTCCACCTGCAGAGCGAGCTTCCCTCGGCTGCAGCGTGCGAACTCTGGGTCGTTCGACGCCAGAGGGGCTTGGAGTATGAGGCCTCCGGGCAGCGCCGGGAGCACAGGCAGCCCTGGCCGTGGGTCACGGGGTCAGGAGAGCGGAGCCCCAGCCCGGGCGAGCCGGTGTGACTATGAATGGGGAGTGGTGCAGGGGGGGCACAGACCCTCGCAGACCTTTCCCCTTAACGAGGTCGGGCGAAACGGCCCTGCGGGGTGGACTGCCGCCATCTTGGGAGGGCACCGCGAGTGCTCAGGAGGGCAGGAAAGCAGCGCCAGCACCTGGAAAGGACTCCGCCGGAGCAGCCAGCACACCCAGGCAAGGACCCACTGCTTTGCCCATAAAAAGCAGACACGGTAGTGTAGAGAAAGCCCTCAAGAGCAATCAAGCACTGACCGAGAATGAGCATCAGGAGGTCTGGGAAGCCTCCCAGTCCCGCGCACCACGCCATGGAGGGAGCGCGCATAAAGATCAGAGACCCGAAGCAAGGGGCAGACGAGCGCCCAGCACGGGCCTGGCAGCCCAGCCCAGCCCGGCACCTGGGCCCCTCGCACCCCCTGCCCAGGCCGGCAGCTGCTGCCCAGCGTCTGCTTTGCAGCACAGAGAGTGGGTGCCCCCGCTGGTTTCTCCCCAGGGCTGTTGGGCAGAAAGCTTTTTTTCGCTGGAGAAATACAGAGTCACTCGGAGACTCAACAAGAATATTTGCTGTCCAGACGACCTTGGCTAAAAGCTCACGGCTGCTCTATTTTCTGCTGAATAAGCTTTCCCTCGTGGGTGTGCGTGCATGCGTGCAAGGCTGGGGGGGGAACGCTCTGGCCACGTGTGCTGAAGCCCTGCAAAAGTTCCCAAAGCTTTCGAGGGCATCTGGTGGGCAGGCGCCTCCTTGTGAGGTGCGTGGCCCCAGAAGGGCCACAGGAGAGAGCAACACAGACGATTTCGTGTCCCCGCCGCAAGCTCCAGCGCAGCCACGAGAAGAAACCACGACAAGCAGCGACGGGCACGTGGACCCAAACCCTCGAACCAAAAGCAGGCTGAAATAGAAGCTACGGGGGGGGGGGGGCAGCATAGTTTGCAGGGGGCCGTTCCACAGAAGTGGGGACGAGCCTGGCAAGTTGCCCTCCCAGGTCGCGGGACCACGCGCCTCTCCTCTCCCCCGTGCTCCCTGCCTGGACACGCCGCTGCCCCGCTGCAGGGCAGCCCCCCGCAGGGAAGGAAGCGGCCTCAGACCACTCTCCTTGGGCACAGACTCTGCCCGCCCGAGCAGGGGAGGTGCCGGAGGGGAAGGGCGAGGGGGGCCGGATCCACGGCGGCTTCTCTTGCCCTCCTCCTTTGAGTCCGGCATCTTCACAACCGGCTTTTTTCTGGCGCTTCTCCTCGCATTTCAGCCGCAATGCGTGCCACGGAGCGTGTGCTCCCCTCGTGTCCTCACGTTCCTGTGTGGCTGGGGGGGGGGCGGGAGGAATGTTCCACTGGGGGGTCCCATGCAGCAAAATAGGGCAGTGACCCTCCAGCACCTGACTTCACTCTCCAGCATGCACGACCCCCCCCCCCCCCCCGCTCTTCCCCTCTGGAAAGAGTTGAAGGCTTGGCGTCTTCTTGGGCCTCCGGATGGTCTTCTTTGTCCTCCTGCCCAAGAAAGGGCAGCTCGAATGCACGCCCAAACACGTGTAAATCGCATCATCTTTAATGGCCCTTTTCGCAAGAAAGTCACCGTGACTTCAGCCTCGAGGGGAAGCCCCGGGGAGGGCACTGCTGGCCACCCTGGCTTGGGTGGGCCCCAGCAGCACCTTCCCACTTTTCCGTGATTCTGAGGTAGCGACTGTCCACTTCCCCCGTGCCGCCCTTTCCATCTTTCCTCCTTTGCACCTGCAAAGGCGAAAAATTAAGGGCCACTGCCCTGCACCCACCTCCTTTCCAGAGCCCACTCTTCCCCTTGGTATACACCTGAATTGTGGGCGATGAAGTGGGTTGGGAGATGTCTAGTGCATAGGTGGAGGAAATCATGGGACGAGTCTGACCGAACACACTTAAGAGCCCATTATTGGGTCTATGCTGTGGTGGTGAGGGCGGCGAAAAAGAAATTCTTCTCCATTTCCATTGCCTCCTCACAATGCCATTTGGTGGAGCTTTTTCGGGTGGTACAAGGGCTGGTTCATCCTGGCCCTAAGAATGATCCGGTACCACCCTCGCAGGCCCACTGCGACAACTTTGCCAAGCATTTTAGGGAGAAAATTGCTCAGATTTGTCACGAGCTGGACTCCACTAGTGACCCAGAGGCTTCTGGGGAGATTCCAATGTCACCGTCTGGTCCAAAATTGATGGATGAGTTTCAGTTATTGCAGCCTGATGATGTGGACAAGGTGCTTGAATGAGTACGTCCCACCACCTGCCTATTGGACCCTTGCCCATCTTGACTAATTAACAATGCCAAGCACGGGATAGGGACCTGGATCCTGGAAGTGCTTAATGCCTCTCTGAGGGATGGCTGGGTACCTGGCCCTTTAAAGGAGGCAGTCGTCTGACCAGTCTTGAAGAAGGCATCCCTGGATCCAGAGATGGCCACTAATTATAGACCAGTGGCCAACATCCCGTTTCTGGGTAAGGTGTTGGAGCAGGTGGTGGTGGGACAACTCCAAGCTCTCATGGATGAGACTGACTATCTGGACCCATTTCAGTCCAGCTTCAGACTTGAGTACGGTACTGAATCTGCCTTGGTCGCCCTGTACAATTACCTGTGCAGGGAGAAAGTGCCCAGATCATCCCCGTGGCCGGCCTCTCCCGGCCTGTCTGCATCTTTCTCCAGTCGTGGTGCCCTGAGCCGGACGCAGCACCCCAGGTGAGGCCTGGCCAGCGCCGAGTGAAGAGGATCGAGGACGCCGAGGCTGGGAAGCGACACTTCCATTAACGCAGCTCAAAATGACACTGGCCCCCTGCCCCACCAGCACGCGGTGGACTCTTACTCAGCTGGGAACTACAACAGTGGCAAGATCCTTCCACTCGTGCTACTGCGGCGCGATCCATCTCGTGGCAACACGTCTGGGTCGCTTTCCTGGGCGCAGGACCTGGCAGGGTCCCTGGAAAGGAGGTTCAGCCTTTTGTTTTCAGCCCAGGGCTCCACGGATCACTCGAATCTGGCTTCTCTTCCGGGGTCTCAGCCGTGCCACCCAGTTTGGTGTCATCGGCACTTCCTCGTCCAAGGCACTGACGCAACCGTGAAAGGGCCCCGAGCCGGGGCTGGGCCCTGCAGCACCCCTCGCGCCACTCGCCCCAGTTTGAGGGGGGCCGCTGGCGAGCACACGCCGAGTCTCCTTCTGCAGACAGCGGGGATCCCCCTGACCGTCGCTCCACCCAGCCCACCTTGGGCTCGCCTGGCAAACGGCGTGAAAACGGAGGACATCCCACCGCAGGGGGCCCTGGAGTGCCAGGATGCAGGTGCAGGATGCGGCCACAGCAGCAGCACGAGGACTTCTCAGCGCAATGAAGCCGGCCTGCCTCACGGAGACCCGGCCTAGGAGGAGGCCAGGTCCCACTCGATCTGGAAAGAGGGCGCTCCGAGCTTTGGGGGGCATCTGGGAGCTCTCTGGCAGGCGGCATGTGGAGGGTGGTGGGCATCTGGGGTGCCAGGCTTCCCCCCGGGTCTGCCCCCCGCCGTCCTGCTGGGACGGGCAGCAGGTCTCCGCGTGCTCCGTGATCCCCAGCACTGGTGATCCGGCAGCACGTCACGCAGCTGCTCGAGGGCCTGCCTGCGCTGGCGAAGGGGGCACGCACAGGATCCTCGCAGGGCGCTCCCGCAGGACAGCCACGCACCCCGGCAGGAACCGTGCCAAGGGGCGCCCCGCGCCTGCTGGCGGGGTTGGGCCTGGGGCACGGGTGCCCGCGGAGGGGTGCAGCCCCTGCCCACCCCCGTGGGCCTCGGGCGCAGGGCAGCTCCCCTGTTGCCGGCCGGGGGGTCCCAGCCGGGGCCGCGGAGCCCCCGGAGCGGCACGTTCCGAGTGATGTCACACTCCCTGCGTGCTGATTGGGCGCAGCCGGGATACGGGCCTCCGCGGGGCCTGCCCGGCCGAGGATGCGGTGAGGAGCCGCACCCGGAGCCGCGGGACGATGACATGGGTGCTTCCTCTGCTCCAGATCCTTGCCACGGTCTGGCCCGGCCGAGCCATAGTTGACACATGCGAGTGAGTGCCCGGGGAGCCCGTGCCCGGCCCCGGCGGAGCGGCCTCGGCGCCGCGCACACGGCCAGCGCACGGGGTGCCCCGCACGCTGCCGCCGGAGGCCCGGCTGGGGAGAGCCGGGCACGGGCGGACCACTGGGGGAACTGGGCTGCTCCGCGGGGCCAGAGGAGGCGGGGCGCGGGCGCAGCATAGGGGCGGCCAGGCAGAACCCGGCAGGGCCCCTCCGGCACGAGGCCCAGGCACCGGCGGGGAAGCAAAGCGGTGGACTGGGGAGCGGATCGGGGGTCTGGGGGCAGGCGCCTCGGAACCCCGCTGCCCACAGGGGGCGAGACCTGGAGGTGGCCGGGGGAACCCGCCTGGCCAAGGCAGCACGGACGGAGCGCCTCCCGTTCCTCTTTGCAGCGTCTGCGGGAGACACCCCTTGGTGCCGGGCCCAGGCAGCAGCGTGCGGGTGGTGGGCGGGATCGATGCCCACCCGGGGGCCTGGCCGTGGATCGTCAGCCTGCAGCTGCCCACGATCACCGGGCACAAGCACACCTGCGGGGGCTCCCTCATCACGGCCCGGTGGGTTCTCACCGCAGCCCACTGCTTCGGGAACAAGAGGTGAGTGAGGCCCAGCAAAGCGTGTGGGGGAAGCAGTGGCCCGCCCAGGGGGGGGGTGCCATGCGGGGGCCACCATGATGGTCCTTGGGGGGATCTGGGTTGGGCGGGACCAGTGCCCTCACAGCCCCTGGGGACCCCTGAGGAGGAGCTGTCCTGAAGCATCCCTGGGGGGTGAAGCTGCCTCATTCATTCATTCATTCATTCATTCATTCAAAACCTTTGCGCCCCAACGACCATCGCTGTCCCGGGACGGCTTCCAATAAGAAACAAACAACAGAACAGAACAGACACAGCAGCCATCCGTCAAGATAAAAATCCTCAGTTAAACCAACTCAACATTAAAATAATGGGAAAATAAGGTTTTTGCCCTACACCGAAAGGAATAACGTGTCAGTGCCAGCTGAGCCTCTCCGGGGAGTGTATTCCGAAGTTGGGGTGCCACTGCAGAGAAGGCCCTCCTCCGGGTAGCCACCCTGATCTCCTTCAAGGAGGGCTCCCGGAGCAGGACCTCCGCTTCAGAGCCCACCGGGCAGGAGGCACAGTGGGAAGAGGGCGCTCCCGCACGACACACGAAAGGGAAGGGGGCTTTAGGAGATCTCCTCCTCCCGCAGCACACCCCCTCCCTGAATACCGCACGACTCCGAGGGTGAAGGTTTCCGTGTGGAAACGAGGGTCACTCTCGCTCCCGCTGCTCTGCCAGAGCTTCCCGTGGGCCGCCCCCCCTTTGGGGGCCGCATCCGCGCTGAGGCGTGTGCGGAAGAGTGAGCAGTGAGGAGGCTGGAGCCCACAGGGGCTGCCGGAGGGGGTTTCGCCAGGGCAGGCGCTGCCCGCTGCGCAAGGGGCGGCACGGCCGCCTGGGGCTAACCCGGGCCCTGCCCACCCCGCCCCCAGGAACCTGCCGCACTGGCGCGCCGTGCTGGGCGCCTCGAAGCTTTCGTCCCTCGGCTCGGAGGTCCACGTGCGCTACATCAAGCAGGTGGTGGTCCAGGAGGATTACCAGCCCGGCGTGGAGCTGAACGACATCGCGCTGATGGAGCTGGACCAGCCGGTCATGTGCAGCAGCTACATCCAGCCGGCCTGCCTGCCCGACAGCACCGTCAGGGTGCCCGCCTTAGCCGTCTGCTACATCAGCGGATGGGGCGCCTCGAGGGAGCACGGTAGGCCCGCAGACCGCCCGCTCCCGTGCCCCCAGGCCCGGCCGTGCGGAGGCCTCAGGATGGGCAGCGGCCGCCAGCCGCGCTCCTTCCACGGCTAGGGGACCCTCCAGCCCAGGGCCCGGATCCGCCTGCCTGCGGTGCGCAGGTCCAAAAGGAAATCGGCGCGCTCGGTGCTCTTACGGCCTTGGGAGGGGCAGGCCAACCGTTTGGCACGGGGCAACCACACACAGGCCAGGAAACCCCTTGATGATGGTGCCTGGGGAAAGGAGGTGGGGGCAGGGAAGGGGCACGGCCGCCAGGAGGACCCCGGGGCCCGATTCAGACCGGGGTGGGCTGCGCATGCTCCCCTGGCCCGAGGCCGAGCTCCTGCCTTGTAGTCGCCACGGGTCTTCCTGGGACGGAAATGCGGCCATGGAAGGGGCCGTGCCGGAGCCTCGCTTAGGCGAGTGCCGTGCTCGGCGTTCCCAGGCAGGACCGGCTGTGGCTCTTGAGGGATGTGCCAGGTTCGCCTCGGGGGCATCAGAGCAGGCAGGCGAACACGGAGAACCCGCCCGCGTCAATTACGAGCACGGTGCCCTGTGTCCATCGGGGCCCGTGCAGCAGGCAGGCAGGCAGGCGGGCGGGCAGGCAGGCAGGCCGGGCGCTGCTGCCCTGCAGGGCCCCGTGGCGGGGAGGCTCACGGCTCTTGCGCCGGCCAGGGGTCCAGCTGGCCGGAGGGGGGCTCAGCGCCGGCCTTCCCCTCTCGACAGGCCAGCAGGCGACGGACATCATGCAGGAGGCGAGGGTCAACCGCTTCCCCGTCGCGCAGTGCAACAGCAGCGGCTGGTACGGCGGGGCCATCCGCGAGCACCAGCTGTGCGCAGGGTACGAGGAAGGGGGCGTGGACAGCTGCCAGGTAAGGGCAGGGCCCCCGTGCCTCCCGGGGCCGTCCGAGGCGCCGTGCGGGGAGCCGAGGGTCGCGGACGCACTCGAGGCGCAGCCGCGGGAGTGCTGCTCGACGCAGATACATCCCAATTCCCCTCCCCCACCACTTTTGGGGCCGCTTGGAAAGAGCCCCGGTCCAGTGCCCAGGGCAAAACCATTCTGGATGCCGTGCGACTGGCGACTGAATCTGACAGAAAGGCAGATCTGTACGGAAACGGGAATTCTGAGCGCAGACCTGAGCCAGGATTGCGCTCGTCCCTTTCGTCCCCCGCACGAACGTGGGCCCGGCTCCCCCTCCTCGGGCGGCCCTCCCTCCAGGTCGAAAGCCGGCGCAGGTCGGAGCAGTGCTCAGTGCCTGCAGTGGCAGAAGGAAGAGCGCCTCCGGGCCCCACGCCGCTCGGTCACGCCATCCGGGCAGGGGCCTGCGGCATCAAGCCCAGCCGCGGTCGGACCTCTGGGGCCACAATGCCGGAGCAGCCAGGCTGGATCAGACCTCGAGTTCCGCAGGGGCCAGCCAGGCGCCCCAGAGTGCGCGCCACAAACAGCGCCTGGGCACAAGGCTCGCTGCGGGGAAATGGTGTGCAGACTCCATGCGGGTGCAGAGGCCGTGCCCAGCTTCCAAGGGCCAAAATGAGCACAATGCCGGGCTAAGAGGACGCGCAGTTCACGATCCGTGGGTCGTGATGCCGGGCCTGGCCTCCTCCGGAGGTGGCACTGCCGAGCCCTTCGCCCCCCCCCCCGCAGGCCGGCCTGCTGTGGGACGCTGCTGCTGCGCTCAGAGGCAGGCGCTCCTTGGCTCCGGCCGGCCCCGTGTGGGGCGCACACCTCCTGGGGGACGAGCATGGGCACTCACACTGCCGGGGGGGGGGGGGCGGGAGGCATGTGCACACAGGGGGTGGGGCTGCTGCAGCGATCCCGGCTGCGACGGCTTGCTCCCTTCCCCACAACCCGGAGCAGTTTGGCCGCTGTTCCTGCAGGCCAGGCAACCCCCTGCGTCTCTCCGGTCCCCTGAGAAATCCGAGGTGAGCTCCGGACAGGAAGGGGCACCCCGGAGGCGAGGCCCGGGGCCTGGCAGGCCGCCAGCAGCAGCTTGGGGCCACCCTCCCTGCCTCTGCGGCCCATCCCAAGGGCCAGCACAAATCCACCTGCACCAGGGGCAGAGCCAGAGAGGACACAGCCCTGCAACCGCCCGATCCTCGGGCGGCCCTCCTGCCCGGCACCCCTGCCCCACCACACGGGGGGGACGCCCCGGACCATCGCACCCACCCCTGTGGGCCAGGGGCCGGGCGCTGACCCTCGCCCTCCTCTCTTCCAGGGAGACAGCGGCGGCCCGCTCATGTGCCGGGAAGAGGCCTCGCAGCCCTACTGGGTGGTTGGCGTCACCAGCTGGGGGCAAGGCTGCGGCAGGGCGCACCGGCCGGGCGTCTACACCGCCACGCAGAGCTTCTACGCGTGGATGAAGGGGTGGGCCGGCCCCATGCCGCAGCCCCCTCCCACGCCCAAGCACGTGGCCTCGACAGCGGCGCTGGCCCCGGAGACTCACGGATCAGTCCATTTAGTTGCAGCGTCTCATTCCAAACCTGTGGAGGTCAGCAAGCCGAGGCCGAAGCCTGGCAGCCCACTCGGCCCCCTGGCCCCCGCTGAGCCTGGGACCCCAGCCCCAGCTCAGCCCACGCCACCACCCACCCCACCGCCACAGACCATGACCCGTCCCACGCCAGCACCCACGACCACGCCGAGATCTACCCTCCCGCCACAGACCACGACCCGTCCCACGCCAGCACCC